TCGTCAGTCAGCTGACTGAAGTTATGAATTTCGCTAATCTTTCCACGACAAAACAATGGGCTTTAACAGTAATTGGCAGAATTGAACAGTAATTGCATCGTTGTGTTGATTCAGGATGCATATCCAGCTTTTCCTGACCGTTCAAAGTAAACATTTTAATAAAAGACACTACACTGATCTTCAAATGGTGACATTTAGAGCTGTGCTGTTCCATATAGTAGACACCGACCATGGAAAGCTACCAGAAACTTGAGATGTGGTTCTTCTGAAATGGCATAAGCCAATTCTTCTGAATAAGCATAAAATATACCAAATTTCAAAGACTTAGTGTGAAGGGAAAAAAATGCAAAATACCTTATTTTATATCGATTTCATGTTAAAATGATAATCTAGATAGACTGCATTCAATAGAATATTATTAAAATTAACGTCACCTGTTTCTTTTTTCTTTTTAAAATTTGGCCCCTCGAAAATTTAAAAATATATATGTGGCTAGCATTTATGCCTTTCATTGTATTACTTTTGGGTGGTGCTGATCTAGAGCAAATGAAGAAGTGACTGTCTGCTGAGACAGGACATAGCAACTAAAGGAGAAGCCATCTCTCCTTTTAATTAGTTTGGTAATAGCAACAGATTCAATATCAGACATTTAAAAGAGACAAGACTATTCTCTTCAGTCAAGCAAAACTCCCACTGTGGTTCCTAAGAGTTCTGCCTGAGTAAAACAAATGAGATTAGGCCCGTGATGTTTACTTCATACTAAAACATTTTTTTTCCCGAAACTTTCTTAGTACTCTGGTGGCTACCAGGCTGTGGAAGTGCAGAACCGAGAAAGGATGAAAGAACAATAAGGGAACAATTTGAAAGTGTTGTTTTGAAACATGTAACTAGTGCTGTCAGCCCGCTGGTTCTTTCCATTTTGTACATTTACATTTCCTGACTGTAGTTGAAGAACATTTCACTGCGTGTTACTATCAATCATCCTTAACCTAGAAGTGCACTGTACATTAGTAACAGTTAATTGGCATATTTAAAGTAAATAGCTACTTAGTTTTGTTGTGAAGGTTTTGCATACAAATCTCTAACACCACAGGCTTTGTTTGTTTCAATAACAAATACCCCTGTCTGCACCACTGCCACTTCTGTCAGGAGATGAATAGAGATGCAATCGCATTGAAATACCCGGCACACAAGACGACAGCCCAAATGATGTGCAATGTGTAAGCAGGCCCTCCTTGCTCATCAAAGATGCCCACACAGAGGGGAGAACACACACACATGAAAATGAGAGGCAATGGAGAGTTTTAGAAGGATGGTCAAGAAAGAAAAACAGAAAAAACAGAAATTATAACTTTGCCTATACATTTTCTATGCGTTAATAACCTGAAAGGGAGATTATTTAGCTGACACTGCCTTGGCCTGTGACATTTGTTCAGTGTCAGGTTCACACTCAGCAAGCCTCCCAAAGCTTAGGGAGAGATATCATTCTATTCTTCGTTCCCCTAGGAGCCCAGTAGCAAGTGGAATTGTGCCTCTTCCTTGGGTAGCAGAGCTGAAATGGGAGTGGGTTAGGTATTTGATAAAAGAACATAAAGTGACATGAACTTCTTTCCAAATGTGAAGCCAATACAGCTATAATATATACCTTAAAAACAAACAATCCACATTACATTTTGGGTGAACTCCTATATTTCCTAGACCTAGAGGGATGAATCTTTAAATGAGTCCCAACATTTCCTTCGCTACCAGCACCAAAAAGTCAAAAGAGACTATCTGGTAGTTATGTGTGTCTGGGTGTGTGTGTGTGTGTGTGTGTGTGTGTGTGTGTGTACTGTGAATCAGATGAAGTGCTACTCATTCCTCTAGCCACAACTCTGAAATAGAATTTCCACAGAAGAAACAATATAAATGGTTGTCCATATGGATCATTATTACAGTCTATAAAAACCCTATAAACTTACAAAAAGTTTTAAATAAACTAACATCATTAATAATAGTACAATTAGAGATCAGAAATCATAGTAATACTGTTGTTAGCACTAATAACATTATTTCAACCCTATTCAAAGGTTAAAGAAAAAAAGAACAGGTTTTATGGAAATAACCGGGAGAGAGTTAACAATTACTTATTTCTAATATTATTTCTTTGACAAAATTCAAATCTGAGATACCAAAAATTATTTTCCTTAGAACATCGAGATACATCATCATTAAGCAGGCTTTGCTACTTTTATCATGGGCTATCAGCTATGGCATTTTTCAGTGCTTGGAATATGCCAACACGTCCTGCAAAGGTAGGAGTGGTCTGAGCATGTGTCCTTCATCCACTCCCATGTATTGCATATACCTTGTAAGGAAAAAGAAGGAAAGTTGCAAATAATGTTATTTCAAACATCAGAAAATGTGAAGCGGGGAACCTCTCTTTCTCAGTAAAACTATCAGGAAGAATTTCCCATCTGTTCTAAGTTTCTAACATTGAACTCTTCAGCTGTGGTCCACATTCTTTCATGGTTCACTATAAATTTCTAAATAGATGTTTTGCCATCACTAACTTAAAACTAAAAAGTCAGAATTCCTGGTGTTTTCAAGGCTCTACTGCCAATGAAGCTTTTCCATATCTATTGGGAGCAACACGATCCAGGCTAATATTGGGGCAGCATGTGCCTCCTTGTCACACGGCCGGTCCAATTCAGGACTTCATCCTGTTCCTCCTCCTGGATAGTATTTCCAAGATGGATGTATTCCTTTCCTTCCACACCTACCATTAAAGCTCCTGAGTAATGGTTAACACATAACTAGATGACTGCTCTAACCTCCCTGTCGTGGGTGGATCCATTGTCTCTATTTTGATCCATCTTACATAAAATGATGGAATTACGGACTCTAAAGTGGCGCTTCCCACAGACATAGAAAACAAACTATGGTTACCAAAGGGGAAAAGGGGGTGGGGGAGGGATATATTAGGAGTTTGGGATTAGCAGATACAAACTACTATATATAAAATAGATAAACAACTAGGACCTACTGTATAGCACAGGGAACTATATTCAATATCCTGTAATAAACCATAATGGAAAAGAATATGAGGAAGAATAGATAGATAGATACTGAATCACTTTGCTCTACACCAGAAACTTACACAACATTGTAAATCAACTATACTTCAATTAAAAAAATAAATTAAAAAAAAGTGGTGCTTCTTAAACTATCTGTGGTAGTGAACACAGTTCTTATTTCCTCCAATCCATAATGGACTGAAATTTTGGTAAGCTAAAATAAAATGAATTTCTGGAAAAGTGATCACATGCTTGGATGTCACAGCTATGTCAGATTGCTATGGAAGTTCCTAAATGATGACTCTCAATTTCTGTATGTCTCATCATAGACCTTTACGAGTTTGCTCATCTAAATCAGTCTTTAGACCACACTCTGAGTAGCAAAAATGAGCTACCTTCTATAAAATCACCATCATTTTCTAGGCTTGCCATTTGTATACTTTCAGTCCAAGCACCAAAAGTAAATCTAAAACTAAGTTATCTGTTCAGGGCTTCGCTGGTGGCATAGTGGTTAAGAATCCGCCTGCCAATGCAGGGGACACAGGGTTGAGCCCTGGACTGGGAAGATGCCACATGCTGCGGAGCAACTAAGCCTGTGCACCACAACTACTGAGCCTGCGCTCTACAGCCCGCAAGCTACAACTACTGAAGCCTGCGTGCCTAGAGCCCATGCTCCGCAACAAGAGAAGGCACTGCAGTGAGAAACCCGTGAACCGCAAGGAAGAGCAGCCCCCACTCACCGCAACTAGAGAAAACTCACGTGCAGCAACGAAGACTCAACGCAGCCAAAAATAAATAAATAAAATAAATAAATTTATTTAAAAAAAAAAGTTATGTGTTCAAGTGAGTTGTATCTAGAAAAGACCTGAAAAGCTATTTTCTTTCCCATTAAATAATCTCTGATCATAAAACACTTTAGAATTCTACAGGTGTTAGATAAAATCTAAAGAAAATAAAAGATCAAAGATCTTATGGCAAAGAGGTAACAATACCACGATCAAAGTACAAAAGGGCAGGAAGATACCTGAAAATATTGTGGCCACAAAAGTCATATGGAGAAGCAGAGAAATAACCAAAAAAAAAAAAACAAAAAAACTATCCAAGCTTATTTTAAACATTTTTAAGAATGTTCTGCAAAGGAGATGCACAAACTATACCCAAGATCTCATCACCAAGATGGCCAAATTCAAAACTGCAGAAATAAATACAGAAATAAATTCAAAACTGCAGAAATAAATACAGAAATAAGCATTAAATAATAAGTTCTCCTGTGAACTCTCCCTTCCTAGCTTGTTAGTTTTTTAAAAGTCATCAAACAGTTTATTCTGTTTTATAGAAACAAAATATCTAGATGAATTCCTGAAATTTCAACCATATTGACTGATATCAATATGTTGCTGAGATACAGAGATATCTCAGGTGCGATGCTCACCCTCCAGCTGTGCCTGGGCATACCATTTGTTTTATGGACTAAAATGCAGAGCTAGCAGTATCCTGATTCCTAGGCTCAAAGAGTCATAATAATCCCCTTCCTTCTGGGTTCCATTGCTTGAGCCAGATTACTTTTCATACTGTTTCTTCATATACTTTGCAACATGATCACATTGCATTTTTCTTCAAAACTCTGGCAGATTGTTTGGGCTAGAGATAGATGGAGACAAGAGGCACCATCTGGTGCAAGATCTTTATTCCTTGTTAACACTACAGGAGTTCTGGTATTTTACATGGTTCAGGCACTAGCAAAGATTTTTTTTTTTTTTTTTTTTTTTTTAATGTATAGCTTGAGAAGGTGTAAGATGGTCAAAGGGCCCTGGCACTGTTTGATCACATTACTGATTTCCTTGGTGTAGAGCTGGGTTTTTTGTTTTTGTTGTTGGGTTTTTTGTTTTTTTTTTTTTCTTCGATTCAGACAACCAGTGGCATATGGTTTCATGATTCACAAAGATGGTCCTTGACTATAGATTTGACGATCTCAACATAACTTCCAGGCTTGCCAGAGCTGTGTTACAGCAGAGAGAGCAAATAGCTCATGATATTTCTCCTCTGATGAGTAAGCTCCAAAATCGCAGGTTTAAATTTGATCTGGGATTGAAAGAAAAGGAGCTATGTCCTCCCATGCCAGCATCCACGCTTTTCTTTGTCAGAGGTGAGTGTCTATTTTTGTACCATTGACCCATGGCTTCAGGGGCCAAAAACTCAAATAATGCCCAGGTGAATTCTGTTGATTCAGACTGAATACACACTTGCTCTTTTCTATACCTTTCTATTCTTTGGAATTCCAAGCGCTTCCTGAAATTCAGCTTTCGTTCTAAAACTCTGGTGACTGTTTAATAGAAAAAAATTTCACCTTCTATACACAATTGAAGTCAGTATTTTCTAACAGAATTAGCTAAGAGTTGGGAGCCAGGAGATTTGCCTGATGATGCTAAGCTAACTCACAGCTACCTTGTGAGGATAAGTGAAAAAATGAAGTGGAACGGTGTGTTGGAAATAAACTAAAACACCAAAAAAAAAAAAAAACAAGTGGCTTGTACAAGTTAATCTTGACTGTATTTTAAGAATAAAGTTAAAGGAAGCCTTCACCTGTTGATCCCTGATTTCAGAAGGCTACTTGGAGTTACTGCTGTTGGAATGTGTTGTCAAAAATTTGAAGTATCTTTCCAATGAACAGATTAATTCCACCTTAATCTCTGTGAGATGCTCTGCCATCACCCCGTACACCCATGGTCCTTATTCTCCTGTCTCCTCTCAGCTATTTCTGGTGCTTTTGTTAATCCCAAATTAAACCCTCACATCTCTCTCATGCTTCCTCCGGATACTTTCTCACCTTTTTACACGGTTTTCAGGGCCCAGGAATTATGACTTTTTTCCTACTGAGCCCTTTGACCACTTGTCTGTCCCTGTCTTCCACTACTCCCTCACTGAAAGCCTCCTTTCTTGATATCATGAAATGGTACAGATATCAGTGAATATGACTTGAAATAAAGAAGGAAAAGAAGAAATAACAGAACATATCTAAGAAAAAGGAGGGTGCTATGTTGAAGGAAGCAGATGTCAATACGACAGCAGATGGTGTAGATAAACTCGGTACTAGTATGGTCAACTTGTTGCATTTGCCACATGGTCGCAACTGCAAACCATTACATACAAAACTCAGAAGTATAAAAAGCTATGCAGGTGGTTATTCATTGATGCTCCGTAGTCAAGGGCTATGCCACAATCACTTCTTTCTATATTTGTCCAAGAGGCAGAGTACCTCACAACGTGTAGGTGTAATGACTTGTGAGGAGTCTTATTTTTACGTTAACAGTGAACAATCTTCTCCAAAGTTCAAAGGAGAGATACATGTATACTCCTCACACCCCCTCAGACTCAATTTTGTAACAGGACACAGCTTCTTCTTAGACAGATGCCTCAAAAGAAAAAGTGAATGAATGTACATCACTCTGTCTTGATAAAGTAGAGAAAGCAGTGTCCCTGTGGCAGCTTATTTCTTCTTCACTCTGTGTGTTGGAGGTGAAACAGGAGGTGGAGTCCAGGGAGTGACCAACATCACTGTGCTTTAAATTGTAATAACTTTCGAAATCCGGGCTTGGGAGATAAATCTGAAGCTAGGGACAAATTTAGGCTCCAGGTTGCTGTCAATAAATAGATCATCCCCAAATCTCCAATGGTTCCCAACTGAATATAAAATAAAGGCCACACTTATCAAACTGACATTTAGAGCTCTCCACAATCTGATAGCAACCTATCTTTCCAACATTTAAGCTGCTATTTTCATTCACTAACCCTCAGTTCCCTGTAGAAAAATCTATTCGCTGTTACTTAAAAACATTGTATGGATTCCAGGGGCTGCAATTTCGTTTACACGTATCCCTTTTTGAGACGGCTGCCTCACTTCTCAGTTTATCTGAACAACATCCTCCCTTTACATCCATCCTAGAGGCTCACGCTGTGTTCTCTTCCCAGTTGCTCTAGACCATGATGATTCCCTCTCTCTGCTGATCATCCAGAGAACTGATCTCTCACAATACTCATTAGGCTTTTATTGTGGGCTATCTTTGGTTACTAGTTAACATTTTTTTTCCGCATGCCCCATCCTCTCCACCAAATTCTTCTGTACCAGGTGTAAGTTCCTTGGAGGCAATCACTCATTTCTATGTGCAGCCTTCATAGGGCTTAGAAAAGGCACTCACGATTTGTCAATGGATCATTTTATTGAATTCCTGCATTTTAAATATAAGTGTATAATCGATGTTAAGTGTTTGACTCCAAATTTCTCCAACTGTAGAGACTTTTGCCACGTTGAGGCTGGCTTTATAAAAGCATATTGCTAGGCATTACTGTAAGCCTGAGATAACACCCTAAAATCAAAGATAGAAAAATACAGATTGAAAGCCTAAGAAGTAGAGTAGAGATAAAATAAAAAATGTCCCTTAAAAATCTGCAGTAACGTGTTCTGGTTTTTAAGATATCTTTTCAATATAACTAATAGTCTGACCATCAACACAGTACTACAAGAGACTTTTTTTTTTTCAAAAACAAGAGGTCTGTAGGATTGACCCCATCGGGTATTGACAGCAAAAATAAAACATAATAAACTAGATTGTGTTGAAAATACTGAGACAAACTTGGTCTGTATACTCTCAGCTAAGCTCTGAAAGAAGCACTCTTCTGAATAAGCTAGGACAATGGAGCATTCTAAAAAGAACTTGGGAAAGGAAATTAGGGAAGGTGACGGTGTCTAGAAAAATAAATATAGTGACAAAGACAAATTTTACACCAGCTGCAGTGTGATTATATCTATATAGGACTACTGCACAAACTTTATGCCAAAGTAACCATTCCATTCAGCCAAACAATTGGAAATTCAGTCAGGCAAAGAAGTGGATTGACTTCACTCAGTTAACTGGCCAGTCAACTGAACTGATCGAATGTGCAGGCATTAAAAAACTTTGCTTGTAACTAAAGTGGCCTTAAAATTCAAAGAGTAAATAGTTGTCAAAAGCATCTTCTAAGCTTAAAGTAACATACAAAATGTGGTGTCTGCCAAAGACATGTGCTCCTCTCCATGGTGTAGTTACTGGAAAGTGCCTATTCTGCCAGAAACTCCATTTCCCAGCCCCCTTGCATTTAGGTGGAACCATCTGACTAGTTCTCATCAAAAAAAAAAAAAAAAAAGCCTAAGTGCTATGGGATATTTGGGGGATGATTTCCTAAAATCTATTTGTGCCTTCACCATGATTCCTCTTCCCCTATCTGCCCAGGCACTTCTTTGCATGCTTTCACCATTGCTACATGTTGGTCCTTGTGGCCGGGAGAAATTTTGCCATAAGCTAAGAGTATTAGTCAGCTCAGGCTGCTATAACAAAAAAATACCATAGACTGGGTGGGTTAAACAAAGACATTTATTTATCACAGTCCTGGAGGTTAGGAAGTCCAAGATCAAGGTGCCCACAGATTAAACTCTTGGCAGAGGTCTTCTTCCTGGCTTGCAGAAGTCGACCATCTTGCTGTATCCTCACATGGTGGAGACAGGAAGCTCTAATGTCTCTTCCTCCTGTTATAAGGACACTAATCCCATCACAGGTGCTCCACCCTCATGACTTCATCTCAACCAAATCACCTCCCCAAAACCCCTAATAATACCTCCTACTACCATCGCATTGGGGGTTAGGACTTCAATATATGAATTTGCGGGGTTGGTGGAGGGACACAAACATTCAGTCCATAAGAGTAAGATTTCTACACCCAAATCTGATATTTATTCATTTCTATTTACCTGTTCAAAGCTTGAAAAGAGGTTCAGAAAAGAGCCCAATTATTTGGGGAAAACTGGGACCACCGTCCATGCATTATAATTCAATATTTGATTGTAATAAAAATAATGATGGTGATGATGATAATAAAAAGTGAACAGTTTTTTGTTTGTTTTTAAATAAGAGATTCTTTACAACAATTTGTTGAAATAAATATCATGTTCTAAAGGCTTTTCTTTTTAGTCTTTCAAGGGAAAAATAATTTCTTTCAGTTAAAACTGAACTAGTCAAAGCTTAAGAAGTCTCGCTATAATTATGTTTAAGCCTGTTGCAATTTATTGCCCCCAAGGTATTCATTGGTAAGAGCTCTAGGGCATTACTATAGCCGTAGTGTTAAAGTTAACTGATTCGAACCACAGTCCATCCAAGTAAGCCCCCTGCAGAGCCCCTACTATTACTCAGTGCAAGGAACTACATTGTCTTCCTAACCATCTAATTTAGAATGAACTTAGATGAGCTCTTATCTGCACTGTAGTCTTGTGGAGCCAGAAACATTACCCAGAAGCTGGGCCAGGAAAAATAGAAAGTAGGGTCCTGTGAAGTGCAAAGGCGTGATACAAACCCCAAGTGTCCATAAGATCTTAGAAATGAAACACAGTTTACCTACCAGTCCTACAATTTCCTTCACTGTTAGCTAATTAGCATTTACAAAGTTAAATGAGAAGTAGCTTAAGCAAAAATCCCATTTAAAACAAAAAAAAAATATTTAAGATCTACTTTTCCTTGCTTTGAACTGATTTTCCTATTTCCCCTCAAGTTAGGCTGTTATTTGGGGTTTCCAAATATAATAGTGCTTCTGACCATTCTTAATTGCACCATAATGGGTGTTAAGCACAGGAGAGTGTGCAAACAGACTTGACTTTTCTAGTCTTTGACTGTTCCTTGCCTCTGGCCTCTGTCAGAGAGGCTTGCTAACTGCATCTCAGGGGAGCAATCACACGGCTTGACTCAGCCTGTGGCTCTGACTGTTGGGACTTCCTGAAGTCACAACCACTTTGGCGTCCAGAACTGGGGCACGGCGTGTCTACTCTTCATAAAATCCAGAGATTGCAAGGGAAGTGTGAAATGCGAGAACTGATTAGGGATGCACCTTAAATGGTATCAAGGGACCCAGTTAGCAATGCAAAATATGAGATAATATAAACATAACATTCACTGCCAGTTGATCACTTATGTGAGCACCATGAAAAGCAAAATACAACAGAAAAAAAATTGGAGATGAGTAACAAATACAAGATTTCCTCCAAGATAATTTTGCATAAAAGTTCAGTTTCATGGGAAAAAATGCATAATAAAATGACGTGGAACGATATGCCAGAAACATTTG